AAAAAGGAATAAAATCCTGCTCAAGGTTCATTTGAGTGTAGTACTCATTTTTAAATTGAGCTAATTTGGGTTTTGAAATTTAAAAAAAAAAAACCATTCTCTGAATTGAGTATATCTCTCATGTTGAAACTCATCATTGATGAGTTGTCTTATCTTGCTACCAGGGGAGTAATCTAACATGATAATTGGAAATCCATATCTGACGGAGTAGGTGATTCTACTCTTGGAGTATTAGGTTTTTGATAAATTCCTTGGGGGATTCTATTTTCGCTAAGTCTTATATTCTCAACGACCTCTATCTCTTCTCTTGTTTGAGAAGTAGAAGGTCTAGGTAATTGGCTAGAAGCTGTGAAAATTTCACTAACTGGGTGTCTAGCAGATAGAGATCTGGGTATCCTAACTATTCTTTTAGGAGTAAAGTTTATTTCTATATCTCCTTCAATAGTTTGAATTATTTGATCTATATCCCTATTAAGGATAGGTTCAGGATCTATTTCCTGAGGAAAAGACCATGTCTCTGGGAAGTTTATTTCATCCCATTTTATCAATCTATTGGTTGCAACATTGGAGGTTAACAAAATGGTTTGAGCCAAAGTAGTAGTCCTAGGGAATGCTAATTGTTTTTCTTTGGGATTAAGCGTAGTAAGAACCTTATAGTAGATTCTATAGCATATTGCTATGATCTCACTTCCAGGTTTGAAATTATAACCATCAATATGAACAATTAACTGAATAGCATATAATAAATTCTTATCAGATAAAGATAGAGTTAAATTTGGTGAGACATCAAAGTAAACTGGTCCATGACACACACTTGTCTCTACCATAGCGGCTAAAGATTGTTTGAAATCCTTGCATCTACCATCTCTAACATAAGTCATTATGCTAGAATTTAAACCTAATAATGTTAAAGGTTTTAAAGCAATTTGAACTAATTCAATATGGATAAAATTTTAACTTTTAAAAGGTTTTAAATCTTTTTTTGTTAACAGTTTGATTGTCTGTTTTTCTTTGGAAATTTGAATTGTTTGCTCTAGAGTTTTAACAGCAAAACGAGCAAAAACATCTATCTTACTAAATCTATAAATTTGATTAGGAGGGACGGAGGGTATAACCCATCTGTTGAGTTTATCTAGATTTTTTGGATATTCTACAAGTTCTTCATTTTTTATCAAATTGTTTTGATGATTATCATCATCAGAATCCATAAAGGAAACAGGCTAAGAACGTTGTGATTGGTTGATACACAAAGCTAAATCTAAATAGATAACTTGGACTCATAATATAATATTAACCGAAATAACAACCAATAAAAAGTCATCTAGGCAAACAACGAATTGTTTAACTATCAACCCAAAGGGATAGAAGGATTTCTCCCAAATCCAAGATGTCAAAATGTTTTTAGCAAAAATTTTCTTTTTGAAATCATCAACAACTCCCTTCCCCTAGGAAAAAGATGAACTTAATAGAAAACACTAAAAAAATTTTTTTGTTTTTCAAACACTTTTAAAAGGTTGTTTGGATTCCTGTTAATAAAAGATTATGAGAAAAAGTTACCTACTTAGTTTTATCAAAGTTTAATCAACCTTTCACAACAAAAAATTAGCCACTAGTTGTCGTGCTAATTTATATTATGAATAAAATTACCTTAGAATATACCAGGTGATGATACCACAAATATATAGCAGCAGAAGCAGGATCGAAAAATGTAGGAGAAGTAGGAGAAATGGTAGAGAAAGATAATATGAGAAAGGGTAGAGAAATAAACGTTTATTCAAAACTTGATTACAAAAGAAACTAGAATCCCCTTATATAGGGAAACAAAGGCTTACTATTTAAGTCGGTAACATTTACCTACAATAGTAGGTGAACTACTAAACATTAATTATTATAAAAAACAAAAACTTTTACAAAAGGAAAATTAAGTGCATACATTTTTGCCTAAAGACAAGAGATTCCCATAAGATAAGAAGATAAGATTCTTTCTTATCTTTTGCTTTTTAGCAACTTTTTCTTTTGGCAAGATTCTTATTCTATTAGTCTTGTCTTTTGATTTTGACAAGATTCTTATTCCATTAACCTTGTCTTTTGCTTTTGTTTATTGATTCTTATTTTTTGCTTTCTCTTTTGCTTTCTGGGCCATGGATTGAATCATTGTGTCCCAAAAATCCTCTGCACTTGGATCCTCCATTTGGGCTTCTCCTGCCAAAAAGTCAAAGTTGTGGGAATCAATCGATCCCATGGAAGAACTGGTCTTCAAAGATGAATCTTCATCTTTTGATGCCTTTGTTGGAAAAGTGGAGAAGAATTGGTTTTTCATATGGTCCAAAGTTCTAACCATGATTTCATCTTCTGATTCATTTGGATATTTTCTCTCGAAGAAGTTCTTCAGATTTCCTATAGACATTTGTTGGGAGCTTTACTCTTTGACCTTATTACTTTGGTCTTCAGCTATAGCTGTTTGAATTAAATTTCCTATTTTTTGGATTTCTTCGGAACTCATTTTGTTCCACCATTTATAGAAGAATTTTCTTTCTAAAATGGGTGTGTTGAATTTATGTGAGATATGGCAATTGACCATCTCCATATCCATGGAATCTGAAATTTGGTAAATAACAAAAATGGACATTACCCGCTGATTAAATTATCAGAAATTTTTTTTGTAATAAGTGGGATATTGTCACACCATGGATTGTATAAATCAAGTAATTCTTTGGGTAGTATTTCCAAAGACGGACCAAATTTAGTCCACCATTCAGAAAACCAATTTGGTATAGGTCTATTAATCATCTCTGGATTAATTGAGAAAGACCAAGAATGCTTATTCTTGGGATTTTGATAATAAAAGGTTTGAGTAAAAGTTTGGACATAGTCCTAGTAATTAAAGTAAATATACTTTCCTTTTGCAATTTTTATTGCCTTTTCACCATTTGGATTGAGACCCCATTCTCTTGGTAATAGGATTTTATTAATGTGACATTTGCTGAAGTTTATAAAACTTTCAGGATTATTATTCTGGTAATGGTGAGTAAATGTTACCGATTCGATAACGGTTAGAAGAATTTCTAGATGAGGCCTAGATTTTCCATGTAGGTCTGTATATCCTCTTGATTCGAGGTATCTAGTTTTGATAGACCATCCATCATTTGAATTTATTTTGATATCCTCTTCATCAATATACATGATTTTTTCAGTTACTGGATTTTCAAAATAATCCAATTGCTCTTGAGGTGGGTTATTCACCGCAACTTCTTTGTAAGATGTACTTTTATTAGAGGAGGAGGAAGGAATATCTTCCTTTTTTGATGAGGATGCAGGTAATTGTTGCATTTTTCTACCTTTATAGACTGTAGTCCAATCCCCTATTAGAGGAATGTTTGATTCTGGCTGGGGAAATATATTGTTACTCCCCCTTCCACCACAGCCATAACCGGGGCCTCTTCCCCTATACGGGGTCATCATTTTTTCCCTGCAAAAATTCACGAGTTAAATAATCAGCAAGTGAATTATTTTCACCTTTAATGTGTTGAATGTCAAATTCAAACATAGATAATTGAGATTGCCAGCTAGTAAAAATTTGCTTAGCAACAAGATTTTTAACATCTTTTTCAATAATTGATTTAGCTGAGCTACAATCAAAAAATTTCTTCCACAAGTATCTAGACAAACTTTGATTATAGGTGGTGCCTTATTTTTTTTTAAAGATATATATAACGCTTTTAGTTCATTCACTTTTGTCCTAGATTTAGTTAGACAAACTTCATCTTTTGCCTGTAAATTTCTTCCATTTATGAAATATTATTCGTCCACTAAACCAAACTTGAAAACATCATTTCTTCCACAAATGAAACTCAGAAACATTGTTCCATTAACGTGTTACAGTTTGTTCCTTTTTGACGATTCTATAGATAAAGTATTATTGTTTAACGATTCTATTTATTTATTTATTGTTGTTCGTATTGTTGCTCTTGTTGTTCTTGTTGTTATTCTTATTTTTATTCTTATTCTTGTTATTGTTCTTATTCTTGTTGTTCTTCTAGTTTTTATTATTGTTGTTGTTATTGTTCTTGTTGTTTTTGTTGTTGCTCTTATTGTTCTTGTGTTATTATTATATTTGTTCTTGTTATTGTTATTGTTCTTGTTGTTCTTGTTACTATTCTTGTTGTTTTTTTGTTCTTGGTGTTTTTGTTGTTCTTATTATTCTTATCAATCTTGCTGTTTTTGATGTTGTTGTGTTAAAATACTAATATTGTATATTGTGATGAAAGTTATAAAAGTAGTGCGGCAAAACATGCGGTAAAAATAAAAAAAAAATTCTGACAGACATTTCACAATCGGTATTTAAAACAACAGTGATTATAGGTAGTACGCTTTTCAGTTTTCTACAACGCTCATATGATCATGAATGTAAGTAACACATATACAACCACACACTACGTAACAACGGTCAGTCCTACGTGATAATATATTCTTTTAATTATTGTTGTATGTGTTTTTTGTAGTAGTGGTTTCAAAAAATTTAAAAACTATCATACCATATTTAAGATTAGAATTCCGAGAACGAGCACAGAAGATTCCACTTCCCTTTCTTGTGCAGTCTGCATGAGACTCGCATAATTCAGGATGCTCTTCCAGCATCTTAGTAACATGTTTGTTTCTTGCAGAATAACCAGGCCCAACCTTAGCAAGTAAGCAATGACAACCACCACTACAGTCTGGCTCAGATCGGGAACAAGGCCATCCAACACAAGTATATGCTTCTACCTTCTTCATCGAAAACATAATACTACAAATGGTGGTGCCAAAGTTAATTTAAAAATAAAATTAATATACACATAATAGAGACACATGTCATTGCAGTATTTTAATTATAAGAGTTAAAGACATTGTTGTTCCAAAATTCTTTTTAACATTAATTCTCTTATTTATTTACCTGAGACTTGTACGGATCTATAATTTTAAAAGTAACATAGATAAAGTAGTAATGAAAGAAGACATACCTAATGTGGCAAGCAAGAAGAGAGGCAAAAGAGAGAGCTTAGCATAAGCCATAATGCTTGAATGAATAGAAAGAAGTAGTTATTAAGTTGGTCTTATGTTTTGTTGTGTGTTGCATTAATTCATTTTACATGTAATTTATAGACAAATCTTGTGTCTCCTGCCACATTTTCCACCACACATTTTTTTGGGATTTGATAGATTTCTCTAATAGTGTAAAGTTAAGCTTGCCGACACGACATAGTTTATTAATTTGATAGTAACATAACATTCACTTGCCAGCAATTAGTACATTATCTTCTTCCTTAGAAAGTACAATGATAATATTGGTCCCTTTTATGAACATATGTTTGTATATATTTATTGAAGCAAGAAACACGAGCTTATTTAAATATGAAATTAAAGTACGAAAAGTTCGGATGACAGTGACAAGAGGGGTAAATTATTAGTGATGGGTTCCACATTTTAGAGAAGTATTAATAGCCGTTAAAATAAAACATTCTTTGTGGATTTTCAAACAAAATTTTTCACTACGCCAGAATTGAGTTTTAGCAGCGCATACAAAGACAACGCTTTTAGAAAAAACACGGCTAAAGAGGCATTAAAAAAAATTGCTTACCAAAGACAACGCTTTTTAAAAAGCGCTGCTAAAGGTGAGCCCAAAGAAAGCGCTTTTTAAAAAGCGCTGCTAAAGGGAAGACCTAAGAAAGCGCTTCTAAAAAGCGCTGCTAAAGGGGGAGGGGTCTAAGACAGCCCTATGAAAGCGCTTTCCTAAAGCGCTGCTGTAGGTCTAGTCTACGAGAGCGCTTTTTCCATAAAGCGCTGCTATATGGGGTACATAAGAAGATCTTTGAGAGCGCTTTTTAAAGTGCTGCTAAAGCCATTAAAAAGCGCTGCTATAGGTTTAGTTAGAATTAATTTAAAATACCCACCAGAATTTTTATAAGAAACAGAACAGTCATCGTCATCGTATTTCTTTCTTTCTTTTTCTCTGGCGAACAAAGTTGGCCTATAAACCTGTATTCAGTCACCGTTGCCGTCCAACCGTCGCCCTCCTCTATTGCATTTCGCCGCCGTTCACCGTCCGTTTTCGATATCCTCTGCTTGTCTGCATTGCATTTCCGCCATTGTTACGGTATTTGAAGTTTTACTCTGGTTTTCTTTTTTACTTATATTTTCACCATTGTTGCTGTAATCTTTAAGACAAACTGAATATGTTTTTATTATTTGAATGTAATCAAGTTAAGTCATTTTCTGTAATCTTTAAGACAAACTGAATATGTTTTTATTATTTGTATGGATATCTACATGTTAAGTCTCTCTGTTGCATGTTATATATTTTGTATTTTAATCCACACGTTAAGTCTCTCTGTCATTGTTACAGATATTTTGTATGTTTTAGATTGACAAACAAGAATTTATATTTTTTAAGAGAGTTTATATTTTGTATGTTTTAAGAGAGTTTATAAGAAATTTTTTATAAACAGAGAGTTTTTTAAGAGAGTTTATAAGAGAGTTTTTTAAGAGAGTTTGTATGTCTTAACAGAGAGTTTATATGTTAAGTCTCTCTGTTGAATTTGTTTTTAAGAGAGTTTATATTTTTTAAGAGAGTTTATGTTTTGTATGTTTTAGATTGACAAACAAGAGTTTATATTTTGCATGTTCAATATAGTTTGGAAATTCCTATTTTTTAAGAGAGTAGCCAACATGAATATGGTTTTATATGTTATTATGGTTTTATATGTTGATGGTTTTATATGTTGATATGTTAGTATCGATTTCTCAATGTTTATATGATATGTTATTATGGTTTTATATGTTTAGTTAGGATTTCTCAATGTTTAGTAAGGGTGTCATTTTGGTTTAAGGATTATCTAGTATTTTTAATATGATTTGTTTTGGTGGATTATCTAGTATTTTTGTTTTGGTTAATTATTAATATGATTTTAATAAAATTTATATTTTGTCTGCTATATGGGTTACCTGTGAAGAGCAAAGTTGTGATCGTTTCCAAGCATCCTACTGTGTAGCATTCTTAGAAGTTAGTGATTTCTTTACAGGTATTCTCTGTTTTATTTAACTTTCATAGTTTAGTGTAGATTACTCAGTTAGTATGGATAAAAAATGGATGTCTAGTAATCGATTATCAAAAGAGTACGAGAATGGGGTATCGAAGTTCGTTAAGTTTGCTGTTGAACACGCCAAAGACCCCAGTAGGATCACATGTCCTTGCTTAGGATGCTGTTATGGGCGTCGAGTTGACGCTGTTCAGTTGGAATCTCATTTAATGAGACATGGAATTGATCAAAGTTACACATGTTGGACATTACATGGTGAGATAAGTAACGAGAATGTTGAACCCTGGAATAATACGACATGTGCTTCAAAGGACAATTGCAGGGATACATATGATTGTGATCGAGTGAAGAGATTGCAGAAGCATTTGAAGAAGATCTTCAAGATTGTCCCAAGATGTTTGAGAGGTTGGTAAGCGATGCAGAGAAACCGTTGTATAAAGTTTGCACTACTTTCACAAGATTGTCCGCGGTATTAAAGTTGTACAATTTAAAGGCGGGTAATGGATGGTCGGATAAAAGTTTCACAGAGTTGTTAGCCCTACTTCAAGAGATGCTTCCGGAGGATAATGTTCTTCCCAATCGAACCTATGAAGCTAAAAAAATGTTATGCTCTATTGGCATGAGCTATGATAAGATACATGCTTGTCCAAATGATTGCATTTTGTTTTGAAATGAATATGCATCATTAAACGAGTGTCCTAAATGCGGTGTATCTCGGTATAAGAAAAAATTGTCACCAGCAAAAGTATTATGGTATTTTCCTATAATTCTGAGATTCAGACACATGTTTCGTAGTGAAACAGATGCAAAACACCTGACTTGGCATGCAGATGATAGAATTGTAGATGGGAAGTATCGACATCCGGAAGATTCACCACAGTGGATGAAAATTGATAATGATTATCCTGATTTTGGAGAAGAAGCTAGAAACCTTCGCTTGGCATTATCGACTGATGGAATGAATCCGCATGGTCTGCAAAGTATCTCACATTCCACCTGGCCTGTAATTATTATGATTTATAACCTACCTCCATGGCTATGTATGAAGCGTAAGTACATGATGTTATCTATGTTAATTTCTGGCCTTAAACAACCAGGGAATGACATAGACGTATACCTGACACCTTTAATCGAAGACCTAAAGAGTTTGTGGGAGAACGGTGTGGAGGTTTATGATGGATATAGGAAAGAAAGTTTTAATTTGAGGGTGATGTTGTTTGGCACAATTAATGATTTCCCAGCATACGGAAATCTATCGGGTTATAGCATTAAAGGTCAATGTGCGTGTCCTATCTGTGAAGAAAACATAGATTGGACGCGGTTGGAGTTTGATCAGAAGAATGTCTTTCTTGGTCATCGTAGATTCTTAAATTCTAATCATCACTACCGTGGGTGGAGAAAAGCATTCAATGGAAATTTAGAACAACGTAAAGCTCCACCTACATTGATCGGCGAACAAATTTTTGAAAAGGTGAAAGATGTGAGTACTAAGTTTGGCAAGCCTTTTGCTCATACGCTTGTCACGCGTGGGTGGAAGAAGAGGTCAATTTTGTTTGAGTTGCCGTATTGGAAGTCGTTGTATGTAAGACATTTTCTTGATGTTATGCATATTGAAAAAAATGTATTTGAAAGTGTTATTGGTACGTTACTCAATATACAAGGAAAGTCTAAGGATGACCTTAAAGCAAGAAAGGACTTGGTAGCAATGGGAATAAGAAATGAATTAGGACCCTTGAAGGAGAAAAAGAAAGGAAATGAATAAGAAATGAATTAGGACCCTTAAAGCAAGAAAGGAAATCCCCTATCTAGTATGTAGGGGATTTGTGGAGAGCTTGTGTGTTGGATCAAGGTGGATCGTGGGATAGTTAACTATCGTTGCTTGAATTACCTACAATGATAATGATCAATCTAGTATCGGAATGACATTGTATGAGGCTTTGTACGGTAAGAGGTGTAGGAATTCTTTGTGTTGATGTGTGCCAGGCGAGAGTGTTGTACTCGGACCTGAGATTGTGCAAGAGACGACTAGAAAGATTAAAAGAACCCAAGAAAAGACGTGTTTCGAGAGTTACAATAGTAACTGGTGTCGGTCGAGCTTGAGGTCTCGGAAGCACCCACTGTGTTTTGTTGATCTGTATCAGAGTGGCTCAGCGGAAGCATGGAGAAAATAGCATGTTAGATTGTTTTACCGCGGTCGCTTGTGGGAATTGCATGATGTGTTCATGTGTCTAAGTTGAGGAAGTGCATTGATTCAAATGGATAGTGTACGAGTGAGAGAGGATTTGATTGTTGAGACATTTCCAATTCAGGTTGATGAACAAGAAGCAACTTCGAGGTATAGAGATTCCTTTGGTGGAGGTAGTTGGGAGATTAGGATGCGAGAGTCGTATCCAGAGTTATTTGAATCAGGTAACATTTTCGAGGACGAAAATTCCTAAAGTGGGGGAGGGTTGTAACAGCCCAATTTTTCAATAAGTGATTAATTGTGCTAATTAATTGGTTTATGTGATTTATCTGATTTAAATAAATTATTGGATTTATTTAAATGAGTTAATGGATTTAATTAATTTATTCTACTTGGTAGAATAATGTGAATTTATTAGATATTCTCTAATTAATGATAAGATGAGATATTTTGTGAGAAATGAATTGATAGATATTTTTGAGAGAAGAATTATGATGGAAAGAAAATAGAAGGATATATAAGGGAAATTGGAGAGAAAAGAAAAGAGATAGAAACATAAGAGAAAGAAAGAAAGAAAAGGAGAGAAAGAATAGAGAAAGAGGAGAAAAGAGAAGAGAAGGGGGAAACTTGGAGAAATCATCAAGAATCAACTTCAAGCTTCAATCCAATCAAGGTAAGGGTGAGAAACATTATTATTTGATCAATGTGTATGATTATGTATGAGTTGTGTTGGATTTGTTGGTAGTTTTCTCTATTTTCCATTTCTAGGGCATAAATGGTTCAATCGGTAG